GCACAGGGATGGAGGAAGGGAGAGAAAGGAAACCACAAATGAAGAGAAGGTCCACGGGTTGTGATAAGTGCCATAAAAAGGTTATACAAGATTTTAAAAAGTAACACTCAAAAACATTCTCAGCAGTTACTTGTCACAGAGTCCTCAACTGAAAGCAGGCCCAAGCTATCAAGGAAAGGGGAAAAAAGTTTGTTGAATGTTTTGCAGATTGAAAATGCAGTGAGTAGTGTTATGATTGGCTGAGGAGTCTAGAGAGAAATTGTGATGCCACCCAAGGACCCACCCTCATCGGGTCCCACTGCCTGGGTTCTTCAGAATCTCTACCATAGTTCTGTATTTCCTAAACAAACTCACAGTTCTGCTGAACTGTTATGAAATAACCAGGGTATGCCTTCATAGGGCTTAAAAAGTACCTTTCCCGAGCTGATTCTCGGGAGGCATTCCATAATTGATTGTGGATCTCTGGATTTCTGGAACCCTGCCTTGGCCTGGGTTCTTAGTAATTAGATTCTGCAAAACATCATGTTCTATACCTGCATGGCTCCTCGCATAAAGGAAATACTTGTATTCCCATACCCAGAAAACAAAACTTTGCTGCATGAACACCAACCAGCATTTTTTCTCATCTGTGTACTTAATCGGGCTTTAAAATAAGTATTTTCCATTCACTTAAATGGTATAGACATTGCAGTATGATTTTTTCTCATTACTGAAGTGGTATTAGTTTATTAGAGGAAAAGTAGAAAATACAGATGAGTAAAAATTAGAAACATTGGTAATATCCAGACCATTTTCTGTCAAATAGCATTATGTAAGAGACTTGTAAAATTTTAAGAAAAGGCCCATGATGATAATTCAAGTAATGTGGAAGTTTTAAAAGTAATGATTAATGATCCACCTCTGCTGGTGCAAACTGAGATTACTAGCGTTAACAAACTGTCACACACAGTATCCTCTTCAATGTTGATGCCCATGCCTATAGTACATGTACATTCCCTCTTAAAATTTCTACATTGTTTTGTTAATTTGTAGCATGCTTTCTTAGATTTAAGTATATGTCACAGATGCATGGCCATATCAAAACAAATGGATCCAGTGCATTATTTTTAACAACTGTATCATGGTCCATAGTGTGGACATACCTTAACTCATTCAACCTGTTCCCTGTTTACAGGTACTTTCCATCTTATAAATTATGTAACACTGAACATTTTCACATAGATACCTTTATTTATGGATATGTTATACTCTTAGATTTCTAAAGGTTTAATTATGTTTTATTTATAAATGAGACATATTTATGATCCTTCAAATTGATAGACTTTCAGAGGTCCCAGTCCATTTTGCTGTCCTGTAAACAAATAAATTTACATTTCCAAATGTACATGAATGGAAACGTAGAAAGTCCTTATCATTTGTCCCCAGTTCCGTGTCTTATCTCATTACACACCACACCCTATCACTAGTTCTCCTCACCCCAACCTTCCACAGGACCATGTCCCCCATAGCTGGCCCACTGTGTCTCCTGTAGTAACCTTTGCCTAGTTCAAACCCATGTCCTAAAAGCGTTTCCAAGCCTTTCCTACTTTGTAAGCTTTGCAATGACATAGGCCCTTCTTTGCTCCTCTTATAGCCATTTTCTCAGTCAGCTTTGTGTGGAAGCTAAGAATATACGGCTCTCTCTGAAGAGATAAGGAGTCTCTGCTGAATGCAGCCTGCAGGCAAGAATGTCTCAAAGAATGTTGGTTAGCTGTGCAGAATCCACCTAAAAATAAAAGGGATTAAGAGACCAGTACTTCCCTTCAAACTCCTGCTATGTTACAACTGAAGGTTGTTACCAGGGCAATTTTGGGAAAAGATACCCATTGGAACCAGTCACATGTGATATGTTCATTTTGACTTCATAGACCTCTTCTTTTACTTCTAGTACAAATATCAGGAAGCATTTTCTGTCAAGAACCGTAAGAGAAATAGTTTAGGGTTGGTTAGCTACAAGGTCTCTGCTACAACTATACAACTCAGCCAGAGGCAGGAAGTAACCCAGAACAAGATGGGCAGGATTTGACTTGTGGTCTTCTGTTTGCCAAGTGCTGTTCCAGAAGGTGTATAGTACAGTTCTTCTACTTACTGTGTTGGTAGGCAAGCTCCTTAATCTCTGTCTTTTCAACGCAAATATAAGATTGTCATTAGCTCCTTCATGGTAGGCAACTAGTTTAAGGGGCAGACACTCAATGAGCACCGAAATGTTAGCCACTAATTCTGCCTCAACTAGATATGCCAAATCTATGGAAGGTTGAAAAACAACACATAGGTGAGACTATTGGGTGACAGTGGCACATCTCAGTCATGCATACTCCTTTGGGAAATGAATCAAGTATAGAAAGACAGGCATCTGTCTCTATACTTCAGCATAAAAGACTCTGAAGATTGTTTAGGGTATCTGAAACAATGATTATATGAAAGGTATGGACAGACTTCAGGAAGGATTATTGCTGAAATGGTAGTATCTGCAGATTTAGATGGAAGTTGAGACATTTTTAGTTAAAACCAAGAATATTCATCATTGGTACTTCACTGGCTTGTCATTTCCAAGCATTTCTATTGACTGTGTGCAACAGAGTTTTTCAAGGTAGAAACACTTCCATGGCCTTTCTACTGCCCATGTGATCAAGTTCAAACACTGGATTGCAACAGGAGAGGCCAGGCCCTCCGCAGTTGTACTTTTCCTTACTCTGTCAACAGACTGTATCCTTGCACAGTGCAAATAAGTTGATTTGCTTGGTTAGCTTCCCAAACACTTTTCCCTGCCTTTTTATTTAGTGCTTATTCTATTCCATTTCCTCTTTTCTCCTAAATTCTCCCCAGTTCTCCAGACCTCTCAAAGCTCATCAGTCACCCTGCCCCTTCCTCTGCAAAGTGCCAAGCTGTGTCCTTCTGTCCCCTTTCTCTACAGAGTACCAACTTGTACCTTTTCTGGGCTCTGGAACATTCCTGATGGTTTCTTTTTTTTCTCTGCCTGTGGCTGCTCCTGTGCCATGCCTTCTGTAAATTGAGCAGTAAGCCCTGTGCTATTAGAAGGTGATACATAGAGCAGAAAGAATCCTGGATTTGGATTCTAGAAACTTGACTCACTGTGTACCCAGGTTGGGGCAAGTTGTTTCCTATTTCTGAACCTTAGTTTCCATGTCTGTGAAACAGGAGTACTGTCCCTACCTACTAGAATTTGTGAGAATGGTATCAGGCTAAGTGAAGTGAAGAAGCTGGGGTCCTGAGAAGGGGCCTGCCTCACTGGAGTTCTCAGCATCTGAACTGTTAATGGGGTTTGGCTTGGGTATCACCCTAGTGATGCAATAATTTGAAATGAGACAATACCAAAATAGATCCATGATTAATTGCAGTGCCTAGCATTTAAAAGACAGTCAATAAAATCAATTCACAATGTCATAAAATTGGTAAAACTGAGGGGAAAAATACCCAATGATTTACCAAGAACACATAAGCAGAGCTAAAATTCTACTTTTCTTCTACCTTCTTTGCAAAATGGTTAGTCTGTGCTGCTTAGCACAAGGGTTGGGCCTTGCTTCCAACATCCCATGCTGACCTGCTCTCTCCACCAGGCACCCACTGCTCACATGTAAGCTCTTTCTGTAGTTTTCATTCTTTCCCATGAGGTAGTAAATAAATTCCAATGACAGATATAGATACATAAAGAATATAATAGAAGTTACATGTATTGAATTATTGAAAGTATTCCACACATTTTTACGTATGTCCATGACGCATCGGGGTTTTCAGACTGTTTTTAAATATATTATTTCACTAATCACTTAGAACCACCCAACAAGGTTGAGACTGTCTTTTCAGTACTGTTTTTGCTCAGTAGATTAGAAGCTAAGACTAGGGGCTTAAATACTCACTGCAGATCACAAACCTAGGAGCTGGGTCCTGGTCATGAACAGGTCTTCTCACACTGGGTGTATTGTCCTTCCGCTGCTCCCAGGTGATCAGCACCTGTGGGACTGCAGCCATGCAGGACCCACATGAGGTCCAGAGACGGGATTTCAATAGAAACTTGTTCTCATTTCCTTGCCTTTTGGATAGAATCTTAATGATTAAGAGACATCTAACTGATAAATAGAATGCATTTCTATCATGCTGTACATGTTTATATAACATACAGATAAAATTACTTTGATGTTTATATAAGCCATTTAGGTTTGTATGTCGAGTTTTGGTGACAATTTGTTTCTTCAGCTGAAACAGAAAATGAAACAGTACTTTCATGACTGACTGGAAGGACGATCATTGAGAACAAAATGAGAGAATTACTAAGTGCAAGGCAAAGTATGATTTTAGTAAAATAATATATATAGATAAATTAATCAATTATCTCACATTTGTCTACCTAAAAGTAATTAGCAGGAAATTAGCAGCCCTGGAAAAGTTTCATTTTAGAAAGTTCCATCTTCATTATGATATTTCAAGAAAGTACCATAATGAAAGTTATGAAATTAGCCCTTCCTGTATACTGCAACATTTTTAAAGTTAATTAATTCTCTGACATTCAGCACTGTAACTAAATGACTTTTTACTGTTGTTTGAGCGCATTGTCTGTAATCTTTTGATTAAAATAATAAGTACAAAATTATCGGTAGCAATTATTTCCCCGTCTACCTCCCCACCTCCCTCTGTCTCCAAGTAGCTCCTCCTCAGAAGGTGAGGAGATTATTTCCCTGGGAATTCTAGAAATTTTTTTGTTTTATAACAGACTGAGGATGAGGGAAAGACTTCTAAGTTTCTGGTTTCAATGGGTTCCTGAACAAAAGTATATATTTTTTTTAACTTTCAACTGAAGAGTCTAATGAGACTGTGTGCAGCAATAATACCTGCTAATTCACTGTTGTTTCCCTGCAGTTTCTATTTAAGTTTGTGCTGGTGTCATGATTTATTGCTACCTCACAGGATAATGAATTGAGATTTTATTTCTGTTCTTTGCCCAGACTTGTACAGCAGGCAAAGTGTTTGAAAATCAAAGGAAAAGAAGATATTGACTTGGATAATCTCTTCAGAGGTAAAAACAAAAACACTAGCAAAAACGAAGAATTGGCTTTATGTTGTTCAGAATGTCTTATCTGTTTGATTGTATGGCTCTACTGTTCCAAAAAGAACCTGACCAGAAGTCAGGGGACTTTTGTCCTAATCCCAGACTTACAAATAATAAGCTCTATCACTTTGCTGCCCTAAATCTTACAATGTTCTCATTTTTAAAAGTGAAAAGACCAGTCTGTCTTCTGTGATCCCCCTCGTGACAGGGCAAATCTAAAACTGCCAAAGTCAGGGTCTGTGGCCAGATGTTTCTGTGTCCTCTGCAGAGGCTATGGAGGGAAGTCAGGAGGTTCTACTGCATTTGATAAATTGGACAACTGGAAAATGTGCCTCATTAGTAAGTCAGGCAAGAAGGTTTCTGGGAAAAGAGCTTAACTATCATAGAGAAGATACTCGTTGGAGTATGGGAGAAAGAATTGCCTGTTTTCATTTAGTTATGTTTCTTTGCAGTGAAGCCTCAACACAGAATGTGAGGCTGGGTCCTGTGGTAGCAAGCTAATGAGGACGTTTTCCCTCCCTTGTCTTATTTTACTGCCAATGTTTTGATCCAGTCAGATGAAAACATTGGTCATTTGTAATCAGTATCCTGTGTCTTCAGCTGTGGTGGTTCTCTAACCCTGTCTCTCCCAAAACACAGTAAGAGATCTGTTTATCCCTAGAGCGAGGAAAATGCATGAGTTAGCTGCTGATATGGGCAGAGGTGCAGCAAATTAGCCCATCCGCATAGCACTGCAGTTCATTTCCAATACAATTACCGGCTCAACTTTTCTCGAGAGAAAAAGAGTGCTGGGCAGTCATTAAACAACAGGGTGTGAGGTCTATGAACAGTGGTGACCTATTCATTTCAGGTGGGGACCACTTGAGCCTTGCCTCCAGCCATTTCTGCTTTAGTTATTTTTCAGATAGGGTGCCACATTTTGTCTGAAAATTGTCTCTCTACAATTTTCCTACCTGCATCTCCCATATAGCTGGGATTACAAATGTGTAGCACCACACCCAGCTTGTGTGTTGAAATGGAGTCTTGCTAACATTTTGCCCAAGCTGGCCTCAAACCATGATCCCCTCAATCTTTATCTCCCAAGTAGCTAGGTTTATAGACATAAGCCACTGGACCTGGCTTGGAAGAACTCTATTTCATCTCATCCTCAAAAAATGAGGGCCTTTTCCTCAGAAAATGGAGGGCAGTTAAGTTACTTGACCATCATGTGTATCTGCATGTTTCTCCCTCATCAGAAGAATCTCTATATAACATAACAGAGCTGATGCTTCTTTAAATAAGTGACTGGTATTTTAGAACCTCCTCCATAGAAATGTTCTCATGCAGTTTACCAAGCCTTCATTCTGTTTAGCAGCGTATTTGGAACCACATAAGAAGCCTTTAAAAAAAGAAAAGTATCAGTGTTTTAATTCACATTTTGACACTGTTGAAAAATTCTGCACAGAGTAATTATGTATATGTTCCTGTTAAAACAGATACACAGTTTTGTAGTTCGCATAGTAAAAGTAGTAATGAGGGTTGTCCTGACCAAAATAGCAAATATCTCTAGCAAAACGCATTTGCATAATGTGAAAGATGAACACTCTTCCAGGTTGTTTTTTCTGAATCACTTGTAGAAACTTTCTCCTCAGAGCTTTTACTTCTTCCTGTGTTTGCTGTGCTAAGTTCAGGGTTTCCAGTCCCTCGCAGTGGAGGTGTGTGGTAGCTGACATGGCTGTGATGTCAGAGGATGAGTGGGAGCATCTGCCTTTTGCAGAGCACAAGGCTGCCTGTGGCCCCCAAGTGCCCACCTGAGGATATGCAGGCAGGGATGGATGCATTGTACTGCTTTGAAGTTCACCTGCTGTGTCATCAGCACCTGTTTTCTAGACTAACCTGAGCCCACAGTGGTTCTTCCTGCATCGCTCTAATCCCCATTAATTTGTAATTTTGCTCTTTTCCTCCACTTCTGACCTGAATGGGACGAAGTAGGCTGCCACTGTGACATCAAATGACTGCTCACCATTTCCCTTCCATTTATTATAAGCCTGTAAACCTGAGCATAAATGTCAGGTCCTTCTCTTTTGTTCTTTTTGTTTTGTGGGTTTTGCTGTGGGCATAAAGTTGAATGAGCACCTCTCCATTCATTAGGTGCTAAAATGTGCTCACCATTTCTCCTTTGCAGAGAAATTGTATAGAGATTGTGTACACAGAAGTACACATGTACTTACATAGGATTTGCATATTTTGGATGTGTTTTCAAATTTTCTTGTCACCATCTTTATTTTCTGAAGTGTTTTATTTACAGAAGATCTGATTGATATATAATGTCTTTCAAAAAAGCTACCCTTTTTACTTTCAAGTAGAATTCTCAGTGATTTTTGTAATTCATAGAGATCCTTAGAAAAGGGAAGCATTCTTTTCTTTCCAATAACAATGTATAAAACAAGATCAGATGACAGAAGTTTCTCGTTACCTTCTAATGATCCAAGTTTGTTAAGGAAAACATGATTACCTTACAAGGATGTTTGGTGGTAAAATGGACAGGAGATAAAAGAAGCTTGTCTTGTTAAAGTTGACAGGCAAGCTCATCAGGTGCTACACATCAGACACGAAAAGTGTAATTATCTTCTGTGACTATTAAGTAAAATAACACTTGAACATGGAGTTGGTGGGCAGCAACACCACAAGTCCTTTCTCCAGGAGAAAGAGTTTCCAGGAGAAACTCTCCAGGTTTGAGTTTGCTTGCTGAGTTCCACAGAGAACTGGGCAGGAGCTGTTCCTATAATTCAAGTTAGAGAGGGAGGGGAACTGACTCAAGTGATTCTGCACTGATGTGGAAGGACCCAGTCATCCTGTGCTCTGACCTGCCATCCAGATAGGGTCACAGAGCCAGAGTAGCTAAAGCACAACTGCTTGCTACTTCAGACAGATGTCACTCTCAGGCCACTGCACTGCACCAGGCTGGAGACTCTTTGGGAACTGTGAAAATTTTGGCTAGCAAGTTGTTTCTTTTAAAATATGTATTATTTTGGTCTCAAACAGGTAACTAAACGCCCATTTTAAAAATATAAATGTTTTGTAAGAAAAAAACATAAACATTAATAGATGATTTATAAGTTCATTTTAGGTATAATAATACAGGTTTTTGGTTTTTCAACTGATTTAGAATTATATTTGATGATCTACAATTAGTTTTGCCTTTCCCACTTATTGGTAGATCATGATTATCTTCCTATGTCACTTTGGATACATCTGCTAGGTCCTTTCTTTTTTAAGTAGAAATTTTAACCAAATACACAGGATACCAGTCACCAGATATACTAATCACCAATTGAGTCAAAAACACAACCCAGTTGGGCATCAGTGTCTCACACCTAGCTACTTAGGAAGTTGAGATCAGGAGGATCAAAGTTCGAGGTCAGCATAGGTAAATAGTTCATGCGACCCCATCTCTAAATATAACCAGAGCAAACAACTGGAGAAGTGGCTCAAGTGGTAGAGCTTCTGCTTTGCAAGTGTGAAGTCCTGAGTTCAGACCCAAGTCCTACCAAAAAAAAAAGCACAGAAACTGACTCAAAGTCGGCTGTATGTACTCCCCTTATCTCCTGCCTGGCTAAGCACTGCTCTGGTTTTACTTGATATCAGTTGCTGTTGCCCCATTTTGAACATGTTTTGGGGGCATTTCTAGGATTTGGACTCAACACTTGCCTTGTACTTGCTAGGCAAGTGTTCCATCACTGCTGCTTTTTGCCCAGGTCCAGCCTTAGACCATGATCCTCCTACCTGCACATCCCCACAGCTGAGATTACAGACATGTGCCAACACGCCAAGGTCATTTATTGAAATGGGGGGTCTTGCTAACTTTTTGCCTAGGTTAGCCTCAAACCACAATCATCCTCCTCGCTACCTCCCAAGTAGCTGAGATTACAGGTGAGAACCACCATGACCAGCCCCTTTTCTGTCTCATGACTAATACAAATTCCAAATTTGAGGCTGAGCATGGTGGCTCATGTCTATAATTCCACGTATTTAGGAATCAGATACGAGGATCATGATTTGAAGTCAGCCAGAGCAAAAAGTTAGCAAGATCCTCTCTCAAAGAACAAGCCAGACATAGGTGGCACAAACCTATAATCCCAGTTACACAGAAGGTGAAGGCAGGAGGATCATAGTCTGAGGCCAGCTCAAGCAAAAGTATGAGACCCTCTCTGAAAAATAACTGAAGCAAAATGTGTTGGGGGGGTAATACTCGAGTGGAGGAATGCCTGCCCAGCAAGCATGAGGCTCTGAGTGCAAAACACAGTACCACCAAAAAATTTCCAAATTTTAATATAGATCCTCTTTCCTTTCTATTTCAGTTCGTACTTTTAGGGTCCTGTTTTGCCTGTTCCATATTCATAATGATATTTTGCTGTTTTTCATGCTAAAGTCTTTATTTTTAACATTTTTATTAGCATATGTTAATTATATCGGGGGGGTTCATTATGACATGTCCACACATGCTTACAGTGTACCTTGGTTAGGCTTATCCCTGCCATCATTCTCCCTCATCCTCCTCTCTCTACTGGAAAGGATTCAGCAGGCTTCAGTGCTCTACCTTCATACTTGTATATGAAGTACATCGCCCATATTCACCTCCTTTACCCTCTCCATTCACCCTCCCCATTCCACTAGTAAGAACCCCCAACAAGATCTGTTTTACATTCCTTTCCTTCATTATTTAAGTGTATATTCATTGTTGAGAGGGTATTGCCAAAAATCTTTTTTATCTTTCATGTATAGATTTGGGATGTACCTGAAACTGATATTCTATGTGCTATGTCATGGGGCTTAAAACTCACTTTTTCTGGGGAATGTTCAATTGACCCAATACCATTTATTAAAAAGTCCTTCCTGCCCTGTTATTGAGTGGCAGTGTCAATGTGTAATAAATCAAGTGTTTCTGAACTCTGTGCTGTTCCTTTGTTTTGTTTGTCTGTTGTTTT